TGTAGAGAGAAAGACAAAAAAAAAAGAGAAAATGAAAGATAGAGAGAGAAGAAGAGAAAAGGAGGCAATGGGGAGAAGCGAATAACTCATCAGAATTTATTGGTTGTCGCCTAATGTCTACAACCTGATCTGACTTCGATTTAACAGAAGTTCGATGATGGCCCTAATGTTGTCTTTAAGTATAAAGCAATCAATTTAATCAGCGTCAATAAATACTGATTATGTTTTCTTGACAATGTTATAGTATTTTCATCACGTTTAATAAAGATAGAATATAAGTACATTTTTTTTAAATATCGGTAATTAAAATTTAATTAAACATTAAAATATTCATATTCATTTTACTGTTCATTTCATTGCTAAAATAAAATTAATTAAAATACTGAAAATAACTCTGCACAATATACATAAACTGTTATGAAATATCGATCCTCCTATATGGCAGTGAATGTTGGATAATCTCCTCACAGTTGATGTGAAACTTGAGACAAACGTAATGTAGTTCTACAAACGCGTGCTGAGAATACCATGGACTCAACATGTGAGCAACGAGAAAGTTATAGAGATAAGGAAAACAAAAAAGACATTTATACTTGAGATCAAGAAGAGACATGCTTGGAAATTTTAGTACTTACAGAATAGCTTGAAAGCAACAGGGACAAAGGAAAACAATGCATAACCTAGTTAGCAGGATTGAGTAAATGGATGGAGTAAATATTTAGGAGAGATATCAAAAATACAATATTTATTAAGAGCTGCAAAGGACAGGAAATTTTGGAGAAATCTTCTGAAAAGACACGGCACATAGAAGTAAAAAAAAAACCAATACGTAAAAATCGGCAGTTGCATCAATTATAATTCTGATGTGCATGTGCAATTTCGTGTGACTGTACGAGAGCTACTTGTCCTACCTCTACATATGCGGGTCAAGCGCAACTAAAGCTGTTCCCCCCATAAGGTTGTAGCGGATCGCGGAGTTTAGGTGTTGTTAAATTAAGAAAACATGCGTTTATTCCTGCAAGAAGAAGGTCCACTATCAGAACATGGCGGACTGAGAGATTGAATCCACTATAAAGAAGTGTAAAGAAAACCAACAGGAGCGATATATGTACATACAAACAAGTATTAAACAACAAAATGTACAATGGATATAGACATTAACATTTATGTTTGTGTGTGAACGTGAAGATTTTTTTTTATTTTGATGAATGGTCGTACGTACGTGTATATAATGTTAATGGCGTCTCGTACAAATAGAAAGACTCAATCTTCTGCGAGAGCTTACACTGTAGATGTGTTCGCTGAAAATGAAGAAATGAAAAAGAAAACGAGACAAGAAATCGCCTAGTATTTATAGTTTAGGGAGAACGTCCCCTAGTGAACAATTTGGACAATTAAGGAGAAGTTAACTCCGACAAGTGTTTTTTTTTCTGGTGAGGTCGGTGGCTGGACACAGTAGATTATAAACAAATATGAATAGGTGGATGATACTTCTAGTTAACGGCCATCTAGAAAAATGAAGACAGTGCGGGAATGGCATGGCGTCTCTGAGCAGAGATTTTCCTATGCAGTCCATGAATAAGCCGAACCTTTTTGAGACCTTGAGAAGGATGGGCTCTGCCAGGCCTAACCACTCAAGACAGGCTACGCATGAATGAATATATTCCAGCTTATATCAGAGATATGTCGAGAGAACTGTTTAGATCTGATGACGATGAGCAGAAAATGTAACAAAATCATGTTTACGCAAACAGTTAACGGAAAAAATGTTTCTGTATTTCTTGTCATTAACATAATCAATTACCGATAAAGAAGCCTACATAGCTACTCTTGTATTCTCTTTAAAACATCCCACACACAAAATAGGGGAAGAAGGTTGAACCCTAAAGAGGAGAGACAGATAACAAAATGAACCGGAAATAAATAACAGAGAAACAAATGGATGTTTGGATTGGCAGAATTTTTGAAGAAGCTATTAAATAAGCTAATGATAAAAGAAAAAAGGCCAAGTGAAACATAAATAGTAAAGGAAGTGGAAAATATAGGAAGGAGCCATTTTGAAAACTCGTGAGAGAACAGCGGATAAATAAAACAAGAAACCAACGAGGGAGAAATTTCGACAAAAATAAATGGATGTCATCAGAAGATTATTTTTTACCGGAAAATGACGGCTTGGCAAATGACAAGAAACCAGATAGATCTAAAGTTAACGCTATCTATCTATCTATCTATCTATCTATCTATCTATCTATCTATCTATCTATCTATCTATCTATCTTCTTGATGTCATTTCTCTATCTATTTATCTTTCTGATGTCATCTATCTATTTATCTATCTTCTTGACATCAGACAATAATCTATCTAACTTCTTGATGTTATCTATCTATCTATCTATTGTCTTGATATCATCTATGCATATATCTCTTCTTGATGTCATTCTACTATCTATCTATCTATCTATCTATCTATCTATCTATCTTCTTGATATCATTCATCTATCTATCTATCTTCTTGATGCCATCTATCTTTTTATCTATCTTCTTGATATCTATCTATCTATCTATCTATCTATCTATCTATCTATCTATCTTCTTGATGTCATCTATCTTTTTATCTATCTTCTTGATATCTATCTATCTATCTATCTATCTATCTATCTATCTATCTATCTATCTACTTGATGTAATGGTTCTGGAGAGGCGATCCCAAAGTTGATGGGAAGTGTCCTAAATCATACCACGGTTTGACCCTAGTTTGTTACTGTAATTGGGTAGACAGAAGTCTTCGGAGGGCGTCAATTGTTGTGCTAGCAGAAACATGTCATCGTGACTGAGACATTAAGTGTACTGGTGTTGTCAAAACTGCTGATCATGACAGATTGTGCGTTCTCTTTCAGAAACTGTAAATAAGGTCCGCTCAGCTTAGTTCCAGTATAAACCATAGGAGGGGGGCTCTGTAGGTGTTGAACAAACGCAAATGTATCTGTGCTTGTGCCTGCAACATATCTAGAACATGGATGTGCCCGGAAAAGTAGAGTAGACGAACACTATCTAACTATGCATCAGGATTGTCAATATATATATATATATATATATATATATATATATATATATATATATATATATATGTGTGTGTGTGTGTGTGTGTGTGTGTTGTTAACAATCAATGTCTAATATGTGTGATCATGAGCCGTTCTAAACCTCGTATGATTGCTTTATTTTCCAATATTTGGATACATTTTTATTACGTTTTTGTTGTCTAAGCTTTCGGCTGACATGAGCCATCTTCAGAATGGTTATACGAATATTTAAACAAAGATATTCACCATCAAAGATGTTATTCTCTTATGTTGACATAGAAGATTGCTCTGCGAGGATAACAGTCGTGGAATAGCAGATACAGGTCGTAAATTCCTTATTCGGTTCTATGATGTCGTACCACGTGACAGACCGAAATATTAACAACAGAACCATGTCTAGATGCAATGTAATGAGTTGTGACTAGTTTGAAATGTAATTCTATTGCGTGTGTGGATAGCTTTGTCTTAATGTAGATGGCCTCCAATATCTGAAGATTCTTTTTACTGTAGTTATATGTGAGTATTGTTGTATTATCAACGAACATCTGTCTAATATTATATACATGGCTATGTTTTTCTAAGAAATTTTGTTTAATAGCACTAAGATCAGAAAGGTGACAAATAAGTCTAATGGAGAGCGTGATTGTAGCGAAACTAATATACGTATTTGGTCTATTATTATTATCTGTGATACATTATCTGAACGGGCATGTAAATTGACACACTACATTGTTTTTATTGTAGAAGAATTAGTTATGTGTTTGTAGTATTATTAGAGAGTATTTGGTCAATTGTTTTAAATGTTTTATAATATATGATGAGCTTAAATTATTTTTTATTATTAATGGATTATGTTTTTGAGTATTCCTTCATCATGTTTAATTATTATGCATTTGATTACAATAGTTAATAATATTATGTTTATATTAATATTATCAATGTTATTAGAGGCATTATTAAGTTTATTGAGATACATTTTAATTTGTTGATCAATGAAGGAATTAAGGAATCTATTATTAAAAAGTGTTTGTTTAATGTTATAGAATTCTTTATAGAATATGGTTATGGAAGAAGATATCATTTGCGTGTGTTGGTTTAATTTTTTTTTTTATAACGGCCAACTTATATCGCTGGGGGCAGTCACTATTATAATTAAGAAGACACTAGTTAATGCTTGTGGGTTTTCTATATAGAGAAGTAGTAAAATTATATGTGCTGGAATCAATAAACACATCAAGGTATGGACTTTTATTATTAAGATCTAGTGTAATTTTAAGGACCGGGTGACTTTCAAATTTATTTATAAGTTGTGTAATTTGATCAATATTTTTTTAGCTAAAACGAAAATGTCATTTATGTATCTTATATATATAGGGGTTTATTAGTGTCATTAAGTATTTATTTTCTAACTGTGCCATATAATAATTAGAAAAATGGGACCTAGAGGAGATCCTATAGCAATACCATCTATTTGAGTATAAATATTACCTAGGGTGTCATGAAAAGGTTCTTAACTTGTACATGCTAATAATATTTTTTAAATAGTAGATTTAATATTGATGGGTGAGAGAGAAGTGTGATTGTATGCATCACGGATAATGATGTCAATCCTTTCATGGATGGGGATATTAGTAAATAAATTTTGTACATCTAAAGAAACGATTATTTACTTGTTTGGTTTTACAGCATGAAAAATTTGTATAAATTTATTTGTGAACTTAATACAATATTTACTTGGGAGGAAGGGAGTCATTAATTTGTTAAGATTTTTTTAAAGGTAATATAATCTTGTAGGCATTTGCAAAATTATAGGGTGATGGGGATGATCTTTTTTTATGGATTTTTATACAATCACGCTCTCCCATAGACTTATCTGTCATATTTCTGATCTTAGATATATCAAACAACATTTCTTAGAAAAACCTAGCCATGTAAATAAGATTATACAGATATTTTTTAATAACACTACAAATACATATATATATATATATATATATATACATACATATATATATACATATACATATATATATATATATATATATATATATATATATATATATACATACATATATATATATATATACATATATATATATATATATATATATATATATATACATATATATACATATATATATATATATATATATATATATATATATATATATATATATATATACATACATATATATATATATATACATATATATATATATACATGTATATATATATATATATATATATATACATATATATACATACATATATATATATATATATATATACATATATATATACATATACATATACATATACATATATATATATATATATATACATATATATATATATATATATATACATACATATACATATATATATACATATATATATACATACATATATATACATATATATATACATACATATATATACATATATATATATATATATATATATATATATATATATATATATATATATATATACATATATATATATATATATATATATATATATATATATATATATATATATATATATATATATATATATATATATATATATATATATATATATATATATATATATATATCCATCTCATATACACAGAGTAAAAAGAAACTTTCAGATATTGGAGGCCATCTACATTAAAAAAAGGCAAACCCACACTCAACAAAGTTACATTTCAAACTAGTCACAACACATTACATTGCATCTAGACACACGGTTCTGTTGTTAATATTTCGATCTCTCACGTGGTACCACATGACGTACTGCATCATGAATTTACGACATGCGTCTATTATTCCCCGACCGTTATCGTCGCTTAGAAATCTTCTATGTCAACATGACAGAATATCATCTTTAATGGTGAATATATCTGTTTAAATATCCGTTTAACCACGATGAAGTTGGCTCATGTCAGCCGAAAGCTTAGATCAAGGAACATCACAATAAAAAATATCCAAATGTTGGACAATTTTTATCTTTAATTTCACACAATATTAAAGCAAACATACGAGGTTTAGAACGGCTCATGATCAAACATAATAGACATTCAGATATATGTTGAATTTTCGCACTACTTCAAAAACAAAATTAGAAAGGAAGCCCCCATCAATACTGCAACAATGAAAAGAGTTAATGAACTTGAAAAAACTAGAAAAATTTTCTGAATTTCCACGGAAAATAGTTCTAGCTGCTCGGTCAATGAATGTCGAAAGTTTCCTTATAAGGAAACCACTCATATTACCATTACCTGTTATCACGAAGTACGTGTATATTTTTAAGTGCGTCTCTTTGTATATGCGTGTATGTGAGGCATAATAGTGAGGATAAAGCCAAATTCTTTGCAAGAATGTATGGCCTATTGGATACGTTTTCTGATGCTTGAAATGGTTTCTCGTCGAACCGTGGTTAAGTACTTTGTTGCAAAGAAATCTTAACCCTAAGGAGGTTGGATGTCGACATCAAAGCACAAACGCTGCTTTCTTCCTTATATATCAATTATCTTTATACAATAGCAGATTCTTGTTCTTTCGTTCATGGATTCATTTATTCGAAAATATCGCAGAAAGAAACAAGTGAAAAAAAAATAAAGGGAAAAAGAGAAATGGAGAGACAAAAAGAGAAGGCAAGAAAGAAAGAAAAAAACATTATGCGGTGGCAAGGCGGCAAAGAAAAAGAAAAAGAAATGAAAAAAAAAGAAATACAAAGAAATGAACGAAAGAAATTCAGAAAAAAATAAAATCGAATATTAAGAAATAAATTTGACAAATGAATAAACTGAACGTTAATAGGAATTACAGAAATAAAGGAAAAATCGTATGTATATAATATGATAGAAAAACAGCAGAAAGAATGAATCGATGAAATGAATGAAAGAGAATAAACAAGAATATAGGAATGAAAGTAGAAAAAAATAAATTATATTAAGAAAAATACATAAGAAAAACATAAAACAATTTAAAAGGGAATCATTTCGGGGGAAAAAAAAATTAACATTTTAAAATTCACTGAGTTGCCCATAGGTAAAGATTCCTGGATTGAATACCGGAGCCAACTCTGCCTATTTGAGCGCTCCAGCGAGTGTTCTCTTTACACCATTCTAAAAAAACACGTGAGCTATTTCATCACAGATGCGTAGGTTCGAGACTCAGCCGAGATCAAAAAGGTTGAAACTATACTACAAAACACACAACTGCGACGGGTAAACCACATACTGAGGGTGGAGGATCATCTTTTTTTCAGAAACTCTCATATTCTGAAAAGTAGCTACTGATTTATGTAACGTGTAGCTCAAATAAAAGGGATAAAAACTCCTTGAAAGTGACGGTTTCCGATTAATTCAACGACGATCAGCAGGAATTGGAAACCGACGCGAGGTAAGGTTGAAATCGTAGGGGTTTTTAGGCAAGTGTACCGAAGCAAAAGATTAGAAAAGAGGTAATTTTATCACATAAATGTTATTTTAGTAGATACCCATATGGGAGTAGACGATCCGTCTATTTATTTATTTTCGTCCACTAGGCCGAATATCAGATTCACTTAGTAGCCCAGAAGGTCTAAAGCCCCCCCCCTCATTCAGCGGTAATT